CTTCTTTAGTCGGTGCCGATCATTTCCTTTATTCTCCTGACCTTAATGTTTGACTCAGGGGGTGGTATTGTAAAGAGAAATTAGATGCTTGTCACTACGCCGTTGCGATCAGATGGCCTCTCTTCGTTTGACCATCTACACTCAATTGAGAAACATGTTTGACCTCTAGGTATGAAAACATCTTGAGGAGGGAATGAGGGGAGAATAAAATTTTACTGACGGTACTTTCTGGACAAAAAGGGTTATTCTGCTTTATCGATTCCTACCTGGTTATTTTGAAACTCATCTAGACAAACGGCACACACTTCGGAATCTCTCCTCTCCTGTTCAACTTTTGCAATAGCAAAACAAGACGAGTCTCTTAGTCTTCTCCTAAATTTTCTTATCTTTAGTCTCGCTATGGCTTCGACTGCCTCTTGTCTTAACATTTCCTGAAAAAGATCCAAAGGTGAGGAATTTTTTTATTATTACGGTTAAAAAAAAAATTGATTTTTGATTGAAATTGGAAAGCAAGCGTGGATTACATTTTGTTGCTTCACTGCGTTCTTTTATTGATTCAAAAACTTCGCGCCTTCTTCTCTACCAATCATATGTAAAACTGAAATAAGATGCTCCTTTTCCGTTAGCGTTTTCCTATACTCCATGCCTATTACATGCATCCGCCTCTTTGAGTTCGCATCGGTTTCTTCTGACATTCTTCTTTATTCTGATTAGCAGTCGTAATAGTTGCAGTAAATCAAAAGGCACTCTTACAACAATTGTGTGTATGGGAATCGTCAAACCCTCACCTCTTTTTTGGAAATCCAATAATTATGAAGGAACTGGCTAAGCTGGGTCTGTCAAGTCAAGCATAAAAGAGAGTTTGTTACTCTAGTCTTACTCCGGCTTTTTCCAAGTGGAATCTTCCCAGGGCTGCAAATAACGGCCGGTCAACGGACAATCTCCGGTCAAAATTGGGTACTGACCAGACAAATCCTTGGTTTGCCGGACATCTTGTCCGGTCCTTTACCGACTCGTTCAAAGAAATTTGAATTTTTAACTGTTTGCTAATCACAAGGGACACAGTCATGTTTCCAAAAGAAAAAAAAACAAACCAATATAAAAGTTGGCAAATTTAGTGGTCGAGAAATTCCCGGCAGTCGCAAATTTCCGCGATGTCATCAAGTCCTGTCGCGACCGCAAATCATCGTGTCTTCCGTTATTTTCTTTACTTTATTTAAGTGTTCCCAGTTAGTAGAGGGTTTTACCTTTGGCTAGATACCATCATTTACTCTTAAATAAAGTGATTGATTGTTTGATCGATTGAATGATCGGAAAGCACCCTCACGAAGAATAATCTTGTTGCATCGAGAATACTCCAAGTAGCATTTGTTGCAAAGTGCAAAAAGCGAGCAAAAGGCCCAAAACCTGGGGAATCCTACCACTCTTTTACTCTAATAAAAATTCACAACTATAACTTTAAAAAAAAGGGCTCTGAGTGTAATATTTAATTATAAGTGATTTTGCCAGATGTAAAGTAAAACGGACAATTGCGGTTGTATCTTGCGTAACCGTTCCACGTACTCAATGCGAGGCTGCTTCTGCAGTAAAGAGTAGTAAAATTATTGACCTGTAATTTTTATTGCCAGACCGACTTGGATTCAGCTGTTTTTTAGTTGTAAAAGGATTACTGTGCAATCTGGGTTCATTATCGCGAGAGTTCGGACTGTTAAAATTTGACCGGCCAAAAACGGGTAGTGTCCGAGCAAAAGCATGTTTGACCGGACAACGTGACCGGCGACTGCCCGTTAGTTATTTTCAGCCTTGCTTCCTGTTTCATCTTGCTTTTCAGAATATTCCTTAAGTACACCGTCACAAAAAAGTTAGTAGGCCTTCTTTACAGTTTCTCTCTTGTCGCCATACTTTGCGTGATAGTGCAACAGTGTTTGCAAATCCTCTCCGTGCTTTTGGTGTCAACATTGGGTGTTGCATCAAACCAACCGCGTAACGATGTCAGTGAAAATCCTTCTTTTCTCTATGAAAGGGAAAGCTAGAAATTCTGTGATTTACATTAACTTACCTTAAAAACTAAAAGACAAAACAACACCGACGCAAAGAACACGGCCGAGCTGGTGAATTGAGAGTTCACTTCCTGAGAATATAGAAAGGAAATGAAAGACTATGTTCAATACAGTTTTCCACTCTATTATTATTTTTTTTATACTTAGCACATTTATATGCAAAATCATAGCCCACCGATTAATTATAGCGAGATTCTATTGGCTATTTTATATCACGCGGAACAAAATCACCAGATAGTTATTACCCATAACCCTTATCTTCTTTGATATTTGTCCTCCGATTATTTCCGTTGAAAAGAAACAAAGCCAACGGAAAAAAGCCAGCTTAAAGAGTTTCACTTTTCATCTTTATTACTTTACACTGAACAAAAAGATAAAAAATGAACTCGTTTTGCAAAGTCTAGCGTTAGAGAAGTCAAAAGGCTAATATCAAATGCTGTTCCGGAAGGTATGAAAAAGTCAATAAAATTTGCTGTCAACACGCGATATGAAAATTAATGGGAAGGTTGTAAAATGAATAAACGCCCTTCTGGCTTGCTGGTATGTTGGCTGATAATGTCCTTGGCTGGAAGATTGTCCTTAAAATTTCCCATTTGCGCTCGAAGCTTCGCTTTTCACCCAAGTATTCATTTTTCGCACACGGTCTCAGCCAAGGATATTAACAGCCGACATACCAGCTACCAGAAGGGTTTATATACTGCCGGTTAATATGCAAGTATCATAAAAGCAAGGGGATTCTTGCATAAGTGGGGATACTTACAGGACCCCAAGGGCAACAGTGTTACACACTGATGGGTTTTCAATCCTGTATAAAAATTCGTTATTATTATTATTATTATTATTATTATTACTTCTCTTGTCAACTCTTAATATTGAATAACGTACAAATGTCAAGCAGTTTACAATTCTCTACCAAGGTCCTAAAATTTGGAACTCTCTCTCTATTTCAGTCACTCGTTCGTCAAACTTTCTCAGCTTTAAAACGAAATTGCAAGAGTTTCTACTTAAATAATCACTGAATTGGCCAAGCCGCACATTCGCAGTACTTTTTCTTTACTTAATTTATTATTGTAAGTGAGATGGCTCTCCCATAAGCCTGGTGGCTTCTTGGGTCTCCTCGCCTTCTAACTGTTATCGCTGTAATTAAATATTTTGTCATTGTTAAAATAAGGCAAATAAAGATGATAATGATGGTGATCGAGAAGCGAACATTTTTTACCTCACGAATAATTGCCTAATCCATAGCGGAGCTTCCGGCGCGTGCAGCGAAGACCTTTTCTAAGAACAAAAACAAAACAAAAAATAGTGGTAGCACATCAAGCCGAAAAGAAAAAGAAAACAGTTGGTCGCGTGACCATATGACCGTATTCAATGGAAAAGGTGTGAAATCCGTCATAAAACAGTATAGCTCTGAGGAACTTTTATTTTATCTATATGTCATAAGGTTTCC